GGCACGAGCACTGATGCATCCGAGCCAAGCAGTGAACCCGCTGAGGACCCAGATAAGAGACCAGCAGTTTGCCCAGGATGTAAAGGACATCTAAATAGGAATGATCCAAGGCACACTCGTGATCCTGACACCTGTAAATATCCTTTAGATGCCCCCGTAATATGGACATGTCCTGGATGTAAGAAAATGAAACCTGCTGGTGACAGTTCACATACTTATGCCCAAGGTGAGTGCAAACACATGACCATAGCTCACCGTAAGGGCATTCATCGAAAAGGCCATCATCCCAGAGAACCAGCCAAGCGGGCTGATGAACTTCCGGTTCAAGACTCTCAGGCCCAACTGCCTGATGGAACCGATTTGGGAGCCGGTGAAGGAGCTGCTAGTAGTTCAGCCGTAGGGGCAGCACCTCCAGTAGAAGATAGGATTGTCCCCTACAACCCAGATGACGGCGAACCTGCCGAGAGCAGACTCCGAGGCCCTTATCGAAAGTTCCGGGATGCGGCCGCAGGTAGTGAACATCCATCTGACTGGTCCAGATTTGATGTCACTCATAGTCTAAAAGACTTGAGAAGTAGCCATGAACCAACTATTATTCGAACACTTAGGAAGCTGCATTTAAGATGGTGGCATGCAGGCCCCACCAACATGACCAGCGTTTTAAGAAATGCAGGCATACCTGAAGAAGTCATAAGCTACATTCCTGACATCATTTCAACTTGCCGCGAGTGCCGCAAGTGGGCACCAAAAGCCAAAGACACTCAACCCTCTGTCTCTTTGGCCATGAATTTCAACGAAGTAGTAGAAACCGATTTGTTGTTCTATCGAGAATTTGTTGTACATCATTTTATTTGCAGAGCGACCAGATGGCATGTTGCTGTGGAAACTCCTAACAAAACAGAAGATCAATTAATCACCAATTTTCACACAGCATGGGTATCCATCTTTGGTCCACCTCAACAGCTTGTCACCGACAGTGAGGCTGGTTTGACTTCATCCAGTGCTGAAGCAAGATTGAAGCGTATGGGTGTAGTCTTAAAGGTAAGAGGCAAGGACCAACACGCTCGGTACATCGAAAGGAGAGGAGCGATCTTAAGACATGCGATGCATGTGATGGAATCCCAAGCCATAAGAGAAGGTATTGACATCAACTTCCCATCATTACTTGCCAATAGCGTCTTTATGGGTAACGCACTAACACATGCAGGAGGAGTTACACCCTACCAGGTAGTGATGGGAAGACAGCCAGCTTGCCTTCCGCCAATTACTGACAACGCCGGCTTGGAAGAGAGAGTTGATGCTCGCATCCGCGAACTTGCTTTGCAGTCTATGGTTTCAGCCACGAGTGCATCTCGTATCAAAAGAGCTCTGGGGTCTAAAACTGCCTTGTCGGGAGAAAACCGTTTTGCAAAAGGAGACTTGGTAGAGTTATACCGAACGCCCCCGAGCAAAGACATGAGTGGCTGGACCGGTCCATATGAAGTCGTAGAGTGTGTAGCTGCAGATGGCATTGTAGCTCTTAAAATAAATGGACAGACCAGACCATATCGCCTCCAAGATGTACGCCCAGCACAATACTATGCAACAGTTTCTCTTTATGGACACACCAATGCGGATATCTGTTTAAATGCCATGGAATACATCCATCAATTTTTGAATGAACTCCCTGATGGCCGTGTTGAAGTTTTTGGGTATGTAAATGACAGACTGACAAGAACCACCAAGCGATGGCCCAAAATTTCAAAAGCACTAGAGTTCATCATAACCAATTCCCTCCAGATGGATGATATCTGCACTGTACGAATTGGACATAAAATCAAACAGCTGCAAGATCTGGAAGACAGATACCGCAATGTGATTTTCAATTGGAACATGAACAACCCAGATGCAATGCTCATACATGTTGCCGATCATCCAAGACAAAACATCAACAAAATCTTTGGTCCACAGGAGTCCTTCGTCGCAACAATGCAGTGTTTTATGCTAGACAGAGATGTCGGGATGACACTTGATGATTTTGAGGAGAAAGTGCTGGACCGTCCGTCGGCTATGGCGCATCTCGATCGAGAGATCGAGGTGGGTCGTAGTGATGGGCGGCTCAGTACGATCGCCGAGGAATCTCAAGTTAGCTTCGACTCTCCAGAGGTTGAAGCATTGTATATACAACACTTCGAAGGTGCTCCCAAAGAAATCCAAAGTGATCTCAAGGAGCTGTGCTGGGTAGTTCTCAACGAACCGGCAGATGAAGTATCAGATGTGGAGATTAAAGATGATTGGTGTTATTTTGTAAGTCCAGACAACCATAATGATTGGGATTCATTACCACCTACAGTTAGTCCAGATTTCGACGAGTATGATCACACTTTTGAGTTTGATGAAAATGATGAACCATTCCTTGAAGTGTTGATCTCAGAGAACATCACTGAATGCTTCCAAGACAGTCGCGATGTGTCTAAACCCAACTTAATGAAAGTATTCCTTAATGCAGAAGCCAAGAAAGAAGTCATCGAGAGAGATACGGACTTGCTCACTACTAAGGAATTAATTGACCATCGCAAGGAAGTTGATGAAGCAACCGTTAAAGAGTATGAAACCTGGCATAAATATGGTTGTTTTGAACGAATCCCCAAAAAGAAGTGTAAAGTTCTGATCGACGCCAAGCTAGTTTCTAAGTGGAAGTATGTAGACGGGAAGCGCATCATCAGGATGCGATTGGCCTTGCGAGGGTTCAAGGAACCGCAAACCGAAGATGAAGTGAACTTCTCGGCCACTGCGCAAAGAACATCCCAAAAGATTCTAGCTAGTGAAGCAGCCTGCCACAAAGATTGGAGCTTTGTCGCTGTGGACATAAGCAAAGCATTTCTTCAAGGGCTTACCTTTTCCGAGATGAACAAGTTGACTGGAGAGCCCGAAAAACACATAAGCTTTACTGTCCCGGCAGGAACAGCCAAACATCTCAGACGGATTCCAGGATATGAAGATTTTGATGAGCGAACGGAAGCTCTCAAATGCTTGAAGCCTGGCACTGGCTGTAGAGACGCTCCCAGAGCATTCAACTTGAGGCTAATCAACATCCTCAAGGAATTAGGGTTCCGAGCATCTTTGTATGACCCCCAATTGTTAATGTTACATAAGAAAGGAACCCTAGTCTTAGCCATAACCGTCCATGTAGATGATATTAAAATGGCAGGTATGAGATCAGAAATAGATTCTTTGGTTAAAACTCTGGAAGGGCACTTTGGGAAATTGACGTATCAAGAAAGTGAATTCACAAACTGTGGTATTTGTCATAAAAGACTCCCAGATGGAACCATCACTCTTGATCAGACAGAATATCTTAGTGCATTAAAACCTATAAACCCAAAACACTATGCCAATCTCCAGAAGGACGCACAATGCCCCGAGCACCTCAGAGCGCTGTATTGGAGCTTGTTAGGAGCCGTTGCCTATTCCGCCCTAACACAGGCGTGGGTCTTAGTCTATATAATTTCTCTCCAACGTGTAACTCAGAACCCCACTGTTACACATGTCAAGAGACTGAATGCACTCACCCGAGAGCTTCAACGTCGTCCCCAGAAATTAGAGTATAGCTCAATGACTTGTAACAGGGTTGTTGAGCTATACTCTGATTCAGCATTCTCCAGAGAAAATGATAAGGGATACGCTTTGAGGGGTGCAGTATATCTTCGAATGGGTACTGATGTGAGAGGTGTAAGGAGATGCCATTTGATTGAGGCCGTTTCTCAATCTCATAAGCTCGTGGTGCGCAGCACATTCGCCGCTGAGCTGTTGGCACTCACAGCATCCGTTGATCAAAGTTTTATAATTATAACTACCCTTCATGAAATGTGTTTCGGACCCCTTAGTCCCCAATCCAGTATAAATCTAAGAGAAAATGGAGGTTACCTCATCGAACTTTATGTCTGGATAGACGCCAGGTCCGTTTTTAGTGCGGTGGAAAATGAAAACTTCAAGTACCCAACGGAAAAGTCACTACTCTCTCATATCTCATGGATCAAACAGTTGACCATTTCGAAGATCATCACGCTCTTAGGATGGGTCGACACACGCGACATGATAGCCGATGGAATGACCAAAGGTTCCATCGATCGGTCGCAGTTAATTAATGCTATGAAGGGGTTTGCACGAAGACTACACCCCGCTGAATTCATGAAGACCAGAGGGACACGTCCTCTGGCAAACACAGATACCGAAGTTTGAGCTCGAGCCAGTTACAGCATCTCACCAACTTACAGGAGAACACCCGACTTGAAAGGCACATGATCTATCATACCTCAGGTTCATTGTTGTCCATGTAACTGTTCTGGTTCTAGAGCTCGACCTAGGTAAACACAAGACCTCGTCACAAGCAGTCAGAGGAAAACAGACATTTGCGGAAACAGTACTTCTTTGTCACGTTAGTTCCTCTCTTTTTCGAGTTCGTTACAATCCATTAGAAGAGTAGAACAAGTTTAGAACCAGTTCGCAAACAGATTTGTGACGCTGCTCAATCGGGGTTACGGGCTCACCACCAATTTATTATAGTTACTAGTTACTAGCATTTACGAATTGACAATCATGGAGGTGTTTTATGAGATTATTAGCAAACAACATGATATGTGGTTTTGTCAGAAAATTGCGGACGGCCCCCAGTTCATGACAGTTCTGACACGGAATGTTCAAAATTGCTGTTCCAATGCTGGAGAGCATCATCAATTATCACGGGGGATCTGGAGATTTGTTGTGATTGGTGGAACCCAAACCCACGCTGGGATATACTTGGATGATTAGTTCATCTATGTTAATCTACATTAGATATGTAACGTGCATCAACTAGCGGCCATTTGCGTGAGATTGACCGAACAAGAGACTGGGGTTTGTGTTATTTGCCCATAAGCACATTTCAGCACCATGTCCAGTTGACACTGCTGTTAGCCAGGTTCAATGATTAAAACGATGGTGCCATTCGGAATCACCAGCCACCCCGGGATATCACTGAGGATTTGGAGGTGGACACGCTATGCGAGGGCTTCAGCCCGGAACTTGGCTGTGAGGCTTGAACTTACATCACTAACCATGGGTTAAGACTGGGTCCGTCCTGAGGAAAGCTGATTACGGTGCACAGCACCGCTGTTGCGATAGCGTTGCCAAGGTGATGAAATGGGTTTTAACTACTACAAGTTTTGCTCCGCCTGGGCCCCAGAATGCCCCAGAGACTCCGGTCTTTCCAGGTTGCCAGTTGTACCGTCCAGTGGCGCCATGTCGGCTGAGGCTGTTGATCCCTTCATGGCGCCCCGGCTCAGTTGATCCAGCTGTGTTGAGCCCCAGATCCAATGTTTTGGCTGCCGACCTGCCAAGGTAACAACCCATGAAAAGACGGAGAAGGCGAAAAAGATTGCGCCTATCCAGTTGATGGCTCAGTTTCGGCTGGCTTTGCACCACCAGCATCACAATCATCATCATCATCATCATCAGATGACCATCACTACTCCTGCTTGAATCCAAAGTCCAACTCTTCGCCGTGAAGGATCCCAACCACGGTGTACTTTGACGCCTCCAACCGCGTGGCCGGGAGATCCCATCTGGCTGGACGGGATGACGATCCAAAGATGTGGGTTTGTCTCACGATAGGGTGTACCCCATGGTACCCCAAAAATCCATTGGTTCATCAGTTCATCATTATCTATATACTGTTTTTAGGTGTTTTAAGATTTTTTTAGATATACCCATGCGTTGGCTTTCGCATTTTCTTTCTTGGTGAGATCAACAAACCCATCCCTTCCAGCGTATAAAAACGTGATGAAACGTGCTCCCTTCCTCCATGAAGCGTCATGGATTGCCATGAAGGAAACCTGTATGTTGGTTTGTCGTTACGAGCGTTCGGATCAATGTCGAAAGCCCAATTTCTAGGACCTAGGACGTTGAAAGCATGTTCAGTCCCAAACTTCCTCATTATCACCGGGACGAAGACAAAATCATGATGCAGCAGGTACAGCACGAGGTTTGGAAATGAAATGAAACTTCATTGAATCCCATCACCAACCCTACCAGATCTACCAGGCTCTACCACCAATCATACCATCTACCCCACCTGAGAGCGTCACGCCAGGTGCCACACCCTGGCAAGATGATCAGACCATCCTCCGCTCCACAGTTTCGACGTTGACCTCCGGTGAGGCCGCAGGGGATGAGACATGGTGCCTTCATGTGGGGCTCCGCCTCCATGCCAGGTGTTGTCAAGATCTATGAATCTGAGGCGATATCTGGGGTGAAATTCGAAACCCGCTCCTCAAATCTTGGTGTGGCTCAGCAACCGTCATTGTTTGGATTGGGTTGGAGTTTTGCCCAGGCAAATTTCAGATTGGCTGGTGGTTACTGCATGATTTTGTATGATGTTCATGCCTATTGATCATGAATCATGATCCAAATTGACTCACATTCTTGGGATAGCTCAACCACCAGCCAGGTGTCGCTGTTTCACTAGTCACCTGGTCAGATTTTCCTGGGGCCTTGACTTCATTGACAGTTCCCGACATCGCTTGCCCCCAGCAGCTGCAAATGCAGCGGGGCGGCACGCGTCGCGCGTCAAGGAAAGTCCCCCAGCCTGACTGAAAGATGGCTGTTCCAAGCCATTCAACGATGGGCCCCTACTTGCTACAAATAGGCCCACAGTCCCAGCCACTTACCGCACATACGCAGATGGTATAATATAAGTACGAGTGGCCCATGATATGAACTGGTGTACTTAGTGGAAGGTTTCTTCCCCCCTTTTTGTATTTTTTGGATTTCTGTTTCCCTGCTTCGCTATTTTTATGATTTTCCCTGCTTCTTTGCTTCTCTGGTGTTCTGCTTCTCTGCTTTTCCCTGCTTTTCCCTGCTTTTTTGGGGGGCGGCTTCTCAAACCTGAATAAACCTTAAGAAACACTATACAAATAATTCCTAAACCGACCCCAAATAAAACCTAATAACCACCAAACCAGCACCAAAAAAAAACGAAAGCAACCCTAGGTAAACCCTAAACAAAACCCAAATCAACCTGAAACTTGCCCTATTAAAACCCTAAACCAACGCTAAATAAACCCTAAACCCCAAACTAACCCTAAATAAACCTGAACCAACCCTAAATGAACCCTATATAGTTTGCAAAATACAATGCAACATGAACAGTTGCAGGACTAAAATGTTGCAAATATTATTATGGAAAATTAGAGGTTCAAACTCCAAAATGTTGCAAATACCGATGAAATCGCAGCTTCCAGCTCCAAAATGCTGCAAATAGCAAGGAAAATGGACAGAACAGGAAATCCACAAAAAAAAGCCACACAATTCCGGACCTGGTAACTATGGGGTCTAGTTCATGACACGAATAGATATGAATAGATGCAAAAAACTGTAGGTCATAGCCCCATTTGTATTTGGTGGGAGCCAATCATTGTTGCCTCAAAACGGGGCGCTGAGATCGAGGTGTAAATCGACACCTCGGCTGTAGTCTCATGCATGGCAGGGCCCACTCAATGTTTTCAGCATTTTCAGTTGCAGATGATTACATTATTGATTTTACCATATTTTACCAGTAGGAATCGTGATTTAACCAATGAATACCAATGAAAATGGTGATTAACTAATATTTAATAAACTATAGTTAGCTTAAAGTTACATATTTGATCCATTTGGTTTTGAAGTGCTGCAAGTTACACTTGAGTGGTCGCAGTGGAATTCGACGCAAGCATTTTCAAGCCTTTTTTGCCACAGGCACGAGTTCAGATTGGTGCCATGGGCGCCGTTTCCAAATTGACCGACTCAGTAGCAGACCCCCCTGGTCGGAAATCGGCAGACCCGTGACTTCCCAGTTGGATTGTTGCAAGCCATTGTTCTATTCTGATTTACTGTTGATGCACTTGACTCATCTCAGTTTGTGGTGAAGATCTCAATCCTGTCAAGAGTCCTGTTTATGGGGGCGGAAGCATCCTACTTGGCTTCAACCTTACCAAACACTGCAGAGGAGGATGATTCTGTATCCGACTTTCCCAGGTGCTTCGAGCAATGCAACCCCATTCCTGACCTCAGACTGAGTATGTGTCCATTGGTGTCTAAAGTAGGCGATCACTGCTGTTTAGCAAGTATCCAGCTACCAGGGAGCAGAACTAGGTGTGGGAAAAACGTTTCAAACCCCAAGCCCCAAGCCACATAAATCTCAGTTGGGGAACCATGGGAAAATCAAAGGATGCCTGCACTAATAATTTAGCTGATGCCATCGCACTGCAACAACCCATGCAATCCCAAGACTCTGCACCTAGATAAAGGTATGATCAGCTATGTAGCTAGACTGAGAAGGACAGAGGCCCTATGGATCCAACAAAGATGTGCATCACTGCAGTTGGTTTCCACGCGGTCAAGGGGAGATTTTTGGGGAGTCCAGCATGGCACACCCATGGTTCAGCATGCAGAGTTTGCAACATGCCTGGCACCAAAAGGACAGCCTGTCAATCCTAGTTTTACATGGCACAATCAGATGATTCAGATGACCATTGGGTTCTTCAACACCAGTTGTTTCGAAGCATATCAAAGCATAGCAAGAGGTCGGTGTCATGTGCGCGAATCGATTTACATGGACCAGGCGCGGTTTTACGACCTTGATGTTGGCACCGGCGGTCCTTGTTACATTTCCCTTAAATCTCAGTGGCTAAATGCTGCAGCCTCAAACGTCGTGGAAGCCAGCCGATCATATATGGAATCAATGCGAATTTTTGTGTGTTTCTGGTTCGGCTCGATTTTCCATGCTGCGTTTCCTTTCAAAAAATGAATCCTCTGCTTGCCACATCGAATACCAAAAATCGTTGCAGGCGCATTCATGCATACAGATGACGCCAAGGCTCAGCTGAATGGGGACGGTATGGGTGATGTTGATGGAGGTCTTGGAGGCTTTGAGTCGTTTGGGAACCCGTTGCCCCACTGGACCAGCCGGGAGATGTCCGATGTCATCCACCCAAACTCCAGGCGGATTCGGCTGCTTCATTGGTGAAGTGCCGTGTGAGGGTCGTGCGGGAAGACACTGGACGGCAGCAGGACTGCAGCTTCAGTTCATACAGTTGAGGAGCTGGAGAAGCTTTGTATGGTCCTGTAGGGTGTACTATGGTTTACTTCAGTAGAAATCTTCTTTGTCGATCTCTGTTGCGGGTTTATGATGGTTTATGTACATTGATATCTGATGTCAGATTTTCAATGTTTTTTCCATGTTCATAGCTTGCTGTGACCAGTGGGACCCTCGAGACCCTCGAGACCCTCGAGAACCCCCAGATCCCTTGGTAGGAATTTACTCTTCGTGAAGGGACGGTGCTGCGACTTGGGAGGAGCCCTGAAAATGTCCCAGACTCAGCTGACGCATTTTGGAGCACAAGTATAAAATGATACACAAATGATTGTAACCTATGATAACCTCCAAGGATGTGGTGCTGGAGCGTGAAGGTGTCTCGCATTTCCATGCTGAGCTCTTCATTCGCCAGGCCCCCAGTGGGGGAGCCTCCAGAATAGGCTGAGAGAGATGAAATTATATGAATTTGTATGCTCATTAATGACATGACTTCTGTATTTCTGTGTTGATATCAAGTGCCAGATATTGCCAGTATCATCTGTGCATTCTGGAATATTCTGCCGAAAAGTGTTGAACTGTACTGGTAATCTGATGTAACCTGTAATGTTCATGGTTGTATTCCGGTCAGATCCCAGGTGATGCAGGCTTTGCCGTCGCAGGGGGTGCCCGAAGCTGAGAACCAAAGCGATCATGGGCATCATTGGCATCGGCTCTGTTTCTACGGGAAACATGGATAAAAATAGCGTTCAACCATAGGATTTTGGGTAGCCAATGTTCAGGCACACCCATTTTGGCAAGGTTTTTGTTTTTTTTTCCCCCCCTCCCCTCCTTAAATGGACATGAGATTAAATCACAATGAGGTTTTGGGCACTTCCACTTGTGGGCGTACATGTGCATATGCTTCATCCACTGGCAAGGCGCTGTGCATCAAAGACAAGTCAAAGAACGGCACGGCCGTCGGTGGCTCAACAAAAGTATCATAACACATTCCTGGAATCGATTGAACATGTTGACCGAAACCATCGGAAACATGTTGAAGGAAACGAACCGGAATTGAAACACCAAATTTGTATGGTGCAGAACAGAAACATGTAGGCACCGTGCTTTGCCACATCAGTTCCCACATCAGTTTCCTAGATTTCCCCCTACGTCAAGCCAGTGACACATCGGATCTCTGATTCCAATGTTAACCACCGACATTTTTAAAGGTGCGGCCTGGCGTTCTCAACGGTGAAACGTCGATGGCTCAGCAGCATGAGGTCTCGACCTGGAGAATGGTAGCCTCAGCACTCGTTGGACGTGGGAGTTATGGGACAATTCATGGAAAACCCTTTGGGAACTGGCATGCAAACTTCCCAGCCAACTTGAGTGAAGGCTGATGGATGTTTCAATTATGTTATTATATGTTATTAATTGTTATTATGTTTTGAAACTTTGGGACTTGGAATTCTCTGCGACTTTGGCTCCGACATTTCGCAGTTCAGGTCAAATGATGGCGACAGAGCCAAGGACTCAGGAAGTGCTGGGGAGTTTGGTGTGCATTTGTTTCGTCTCCATCACGGATTCGATCATGACTCGAAATATTCCGATATCCTGAGTTATTTTGATATTTTTTGATAAGGATTGGTGTTTCTCATTTCGTGGTGCTGGCAGCAGTTGGCCTTTCACAGTCTATCATGGTCTTTGGAACCTTCCAACATTCGGAGGTTTGCTCATCCAACACCAGGATCATTGGTCATGATTCATCTCTCGTCCATCGCAATCTATCCAGCTAATTCATGCCAATTCTAGCTGTTTTGGTGGGTAACAGGCTACCAGGGCCCACACCCGACGTTTCTGGCTGAGCGACGGTGCCACTGCGTGAATGGCGATGGCCGTGTCCCTGGAGGCCATGTTTCATGCCCATCCGGGATGAGGAGCGCCGGGTGATGAGCTGCTTCCTGTGCCGATTTGTCATGCCCATGTTCATTAATACCTAAGCACATAACACACACACACATGTTTTTTTTTTAAATTTCCTGGCGCATTACCATTCCTACTAACAACCACCTGTGGGAATTTTTGGTTGCAATGGTGCCCAACAACCCTCAGGGGTAGCCAGTCTGGTAAGACCCATCAACAGGGAACGGACGTCCAAATTTCCCTGGTATGGGCCGCATGGAAACCATGTGTTCGGGTTCGAGCCTGCTGACACGAAAGGTCATGGGGTCTTAAAAAAAAACGCGCACACACACACACACGCAGATACACACACAGATATATATACCGTATAAATTTGTATAATATATAATCACATAGATAGATAGATCGTTTTGAAAAGAAACCTGTGTGCTTAGCGTGCTTCCTAAGTCTCCTGATGCGCTTCGGTTTCCGAACCTCCGCGGGCCCCAGGAGCTGGGAGCTGCCTACTTCACTACTGCCATTGTCCGAGCCGGGCGAGAAGACTGGCGGGAGGTCACAATGGGTCCCATGATGTCCCATGGATTGGTGGTGAATGTGCCCTCAATTGGTGGTGATTGTTGTGGATTGGTGGTGGTGAATAGTGAGAAAAAAGCATTTTCCATCATTTTCCAATATGACATGTGATTGAAATGGGGATGAAGGTCGATATTCGAGAGAAATATGTCAAGGGTTTCTGAGCAACAAACATGAGGACAGAGATGTAACTTATTCAAGAGGGGACGGACAGATGGGTATATCAGAGATATATGAGGATATTATGACTTGTAAACATGGACATGGAGCTGTTTGCCAAAAGGCGGAGCTGGATCTCGGACGTCCATGTTGTGATGATTTGCAACATGCAACTCCCAAAGTTGAGGCTGTAATCATAGTGGTTATATAATCACGGTTACTCATCGCCGTCGTCGTCATCATCATCATCATCGTCGTCGTCATCATCATCATCATCATCAGCAGCAGCAGCAGCAGCATCAGAATCAGCATCAGCAACAGCAACAGCAACAACATCATCCTCAATCCTGATCCACATCCTCATCATCATTGTCCTGAATCCTCAGTCCTTATTCTCAGCATCATGTCTTATTGTTGGCTGTGCTCCATCCACTCAGCCGCCAGTCCTTGGAGTTGTGGGAGCAGGCGAAGGACCGGCGGGACCAGGGCCGAGTGAAGTGATGTGAGGCCAACATGCATCGATGGGGATGCCCTGTGGAGGCCATATAAGGCCACCATGAAAAACTTGGTAAAAAAGGTGGATATTCACCGGCAACAGTCCTGGTGTTGAAAAAAATGCCAAAACTTATAATTGTTGTCCCTCAGAAACATGATACAGAGACACGGGCAATTGATTTAAGTGATGTAGGGCATCGTTCTGGGACACTCTGTTTTTGCATTACCCCCCTTCAGTAAGAATTCGCCTTACCAAAAGCCACCGAACGGAAGAATGTGAAAATCCAGCGACCCATCCCAGTGGGGATGATCATTGATTGTAATTGGTATACGTCACATATACATTTGAAAGGAGCTACAACCATCTACAACCCAGTTTCTAATCAATTCATTGGTTCAAAATGGTTCCAATCATTTTCCTGGCTCATCCCAGCAGGTTCATGGCTTTGCCACCGACGTGATCACTGGAAGTGCCGTGGTGGCCGCTGCATCAGCTGCCAAGCAGTGGCACTCCTGTCTCGGCCACCTGGAAGCTTTTCGCTCCTCCTACATGCAGCTCAGAGTTGGCCTCAGCTATGACCCAGGTCCAGTTGTTCAACAGTATTTGAGTGCCAGTGGTTCATACTTTTCCTAGGCCACTAGTCAGGCTATGTCAGGCTAATCCTGGCAGCTGGATTCTCCTGTTTAAGCACACTCATTCTGATGAACCCTTAGCTGCGCTTTGCCAAGATGCCTACGGCTTCAATTCCGCGATGACGGGCTGTGCGAGGGCTGACTGTTGGGCAGTGGGGCTCCTGACGCTCAACGCCATGCAGTTGTGGCAGATCGAAACCCAAGTGGTGCCATGGCTGCAGTATGCCAGGCCGAAGCCACGTGGCAAATCCTGGGTTTTGTGATGTGGATATCAGCGTGAAGAATCCACTATTTCTATCCAGCTCTTCAGGTTGGGAAAGGGTGATTTTTTATACATGATACGGAGATGGGAGTAATTTGGCGCGATTGTTTTTCTGGCAGATGGGACAAGGTCCAGCTGACAGGTACGTGCATTGGACACTGGAAGGCATTGCCAAGGATGATCCGCTAACAGAAAATGGAAACGTTTTACTCACCTGTTGACCCACCAAAATTCCCATGTCAGCGGAGGAGCCGGGTGTCATTTCTTGGTAGTTGGATAGTTTTCAACAATGGTCACCCCCAGGCTGGTGAGATTCCTAGGTCCGTGTTCAAATTGTTGGAGAATTCTGATTTAATCATATTTAATCTCATTATATCTTCAGATCCGTTCGCTCAGATCACCTTCAACGCCATTGCAGCTTGCCTACGTCCTGTGGGGCGTCCGTACCTCAGTCGCTTTGCACCAAAAACATCAAAAAAATCCACGGGGGGTACTTTGCCAAGGGTGTTCCCCTTAGCATTTTAAACTGCTTTTTTCCAAACAATGATGTCCCCGAATGTCCCCGACATGTCTCAGGTTGGTCGGCGGCTATTGGATGCTTGGATGAGGCGTGCATTCTGAACTTGCAGCCCAACATGGTGAGCTACAACACGTCCCTTGAAAGCAAAGGTTGCTGATGGTTTCGGTGCTCATTTTCAGCCTCCCTCAGAAATATTCAAGAAATTTCAAGAGGAATTAGGGATCACTCCACCCACCGAATTCTCCAGTAGAATCGCTTGCTTTGGATGCGTCATGTTTATATGTGTTTTTTTGGGTGGTCCAGTCTCAGACCAGTCTCTATTTGCAGACTTGTGGGATGCCGGATCTTCACGAAACTTCAATCAGCTCAGGTTGCTCAGCCAGGAGCAACCATGGCAAAACCAATTCCAGCGCCACGGTTGCAGATACAGAACACTAGAGTCAAGCTTGGACATGGCTGAGCTGTGGTAGTGGTTTAATTTGATATCAATTCGCACCCAATTTCAACCATATTTCAACCATATTAATTCCAACTTTACGAGTTTTACAAAGTTTTACGAGGGTTGTTTGGATCGCAGTTGAGACAGCAGTGGCTGGCGCTCAGAGGCTGCTGGAGAGATCCCTGCAGCGTTCCCTTCAAAGTGATGCCATCTCCTGGAACTCCATGGTGTCCAGTGAGGCAGCTGGTCATAGCTGGTCCAACATGTTTGGAGGAGAAACCACCAGGAGAACCAGAGTTGCGCATAGTTTCTAATTTGTCTTGCCACATCTTGCCACCCACATCTTGCCACAAACTCAAAGGTGCTCAGAACTATAGGGCACAGATCGACCACGGCCCATAGACATGTCCCCATGCAGGCCTGGTTTGTAGCCTTGGATTTGCTTCAATGCCTGTCTCGAGGCCGCAGGACCTACAGGACTGTGATTGCTATGGCGTTGTTGGTCACCAAATTGATGGCCGGCTGGAAAAAATAAAAATAAAAAAAGTCCCCATGTCAATGGGAAACCCCTATCTACTCTACAGTCTCTACAGTATTGAATTTTATAAATGAATGTTCTTGTGGACTGTTAGTGGCCTCGTTTGATGAGGGGGAGGCTATGACAAACAATGGGTAGTTGATGGTTTTATTCCTCGACATGTTGTGCACATACCGATTCACGCATATCGTTGGTGCATTTACACATATTTACACCACTTCAAAATGCTTCAACTAGCACCTGCCGCAAGCCTAGAACAGTCCAGTGACACTGACCCCTAGAAAATCCAAAAGCAGACCCTCATTTGTTGTTTTGTGGGCTGTCCTCACCATTGAAGTTGGTCTCTTGATATTCTCCCCTGCAGGTATTCAGCTGGAGGTGGTGGCGATTAATGCTGGCAGTAGCAGCCTGGCATCCAGCAGCCAGTGGAGGCAGGCGGTTCAGCTGCTGAGTACTGCGTGCAAAGGCAACATCCGACGCTCTCCTGGTCAATCCCGGAAAGTCTTGGAGAGGTGGAACAGCCAAAGGCAGCGTTTTCTGGAATGGATAGTAAAACCGTGGGAATATAGGGTGTATGTATGTGTGCGTACATATAGTATGATTAGTAAGTGGACAGTTCGTTCTTTTCTCCTATTGTGCGCTCATCTCATACACCAAGGAAGGATAAAGAAGGCAGCGATAAAAACCATTAAAACCATTGGTACCTTCATGTCCTTCCAGTAGCTCCCACCTCTACGCAGAGGGCATGGAAATTGGAATCTATCACATTTTCAAGAAGCTGTTTGTAGGGTGGCTGTGGGCATTGGACTCATCTAGCTTTCGGCTGGACACCAACTGACTCCAACTGACGGTTTCACATCTTTCTGTAGCTCCTGTTTGCCATTTCCAGGATCGTTTTATACGTATCATTTTCTCATAATTTAAAAGGCCAGTCCATCCAGAGTCCATCCAGTCCATCCTACACCTTCTGTGTCTAAGGTGTAGATGCAACTTCCCACACTGCCGTGTCAATCGCCTGCGAGACAAGCACTCAGTGGAGTTGGGCCTTGCAGACGGTGAGCACATCCGAAGGTGCGGGACGACTGGATCCAGGGGTACTGGTTGTGCCGAAAAGTGATGGATCCAGCATGATCCAACCTGCAGCTGCAGGAGCCATCCCATGGGATGAAGCCATGATGGGTGCCGCAATTGCTGCCTGGAGCGGTGCACATCTGTGGGAGGCGGACGCCGGAGTGGCTTTTTGGACTTTCCGAAGAGTCACCAAGTTGGGACTTCATGAGGAACCCATGGACCCACCGTTTTTGACATAAAAAAAGGATTAAACATATTAAACCATCGAATTTTGATGGTCATAATTTTGAGCCATACCCATTTCATGAATTTTCATGAGTTACGAGTTGTTTACTCGATTTTACTCGGTCAAGGGTCGAAACCCTGGTACCCTTGGTACTAAAATAGCTTGTTTCTTGGAAATGGTTTCCCCCCCAAATATATACCATCTACTACGAAGTGTCTAAGAATGGGGACCGCGCGCAATTCTAGACCTTTGACCTCCCCCCATTGTAGACCTGTGGAGGTTTTGGTTCCTAGAATGTCGTGTATTATAATGTGCCACCTCCGATATCCATGGACCATCCGGAACTAGGTAAGTTGTTTTAAAAGCACACAAATGTCCTGGATAGAAAGTTTCCTATGCGGAAACTATGATTGATATCTCTGGGAGGGAGTTCGGTATTAAGTTGGGACTTTTGCTTGGGATTAGAATCTGAATTGCTTTCAGGTTTTCTCCTTGATTTTTTTTGCATGGTTCTGTTGGAGCAGAAGAGCCAGAAAGTTCCATGCAATCATGCAATCTTAGGTTCTTGAACGTAAACCATTTACCCGAGTTCACTCCGAAGTTTATGTTCACATGGGCCATGGACCATGGATATAAAATTATCGCTTTGGCTGCGCAACCTCCTGAACCCAAACGTGCAAAGTGAATAAACGCGGATTAAAAAAACGGGATGCCAGGTACCATTCACCAATGCAACAAGGTCCTGAAATGATATCTCCCAACTCATTCTGTGAATGTGTCTTCACAAGGCCCATTCTTTATATTCGGTCAGGTACTCGCTTTGGAACGCGTTCAAAAGCGTCGCTTTGGAACGCGGTCTCATGCGTCGCTTTGGAACGCGCCTGATCATCATGATCTTCATTCGCGTTTAAGGCCATAAATCATCATCATCATCATCATCATCATCATCATCATCATCACCATCATCACCATCATCATCATCATCATCATCAGCATCATCATCATCATCAGCAGCAGCATCATCATCATCATCAGCAGCATCAGCATCAGCATCAGCATCAGCATCATCATGATATATCATGATCATCATCATCAGCAGCAGCAGCAGCATCATCAGCATCATCATCATCATCATCAGCATCATCATCATCATCATCACCATCATCAGCAGCATCTTTATCATCATCCTCATCATCATCAGCATCATCAGCAGCATCTTTATCATCATCCTCATCATCATCATCAGCATCAGCATCATCATCATCATCATCATCGTCATCGTCATCATCATCATCATCAGCAGCAGCGTCAACAAAAGCATCATGATCATCATGATCATCATGATCATCATGATCATCATGATCATCATCATCATTATCATCATCATCATCATATCATCATCATCATTATCATCACCATCATCATCATCAGCATCAGCATCAGCATCATCATCATCATCATCGTCATCATCATCATCATCATCTTCCTCACCGTGATCATCATCATCATCATCATCATCATCATCATCATCATCACATGTGAAGATTGCGGTCAAGGCCCACGAAGTCCTTACCAATCCCAAATGCCTGCAAAGGCTCCGCACTGTTTTCGAGACAGCGCGGCAAGTCGTCAGCCGCTATTGCAATTCGTCCCGCCACGGGATATGAAACAGCAGCGGTCAAATGACATGTGAAATCAGAAGGTTGCGGATGCAAACTTGACATGGGGGAAAGTTACAAAATGAAAGGTGTCCTTTCAGGACCGTCAGAATCCCTTTGGATCTGCGTCGTACAAAAGACAGGAAAATGGCGTCACACGCCAGAACTGCTCGTAGCTCGCGCTTGCAATGCCAATCGGACTTCTTCATCAGGAACTCCGGCAGCGCGAAGGCGAGCTTCATCATCGAGAATCGCTGAAGCTTCGGCCAGCACTTCGGGATCTTCATCTGCAAGCCCATTCGCCATGAAGTTGTCCATGTCTTGGGCCAGCGTGGTGTTGTTCATGTCATGGATGTACGGGGTCACATAGAAGCTTGCGCAGTTGTCGCAGGCATGTAACTCAATGACTGCACTGCGGTAGAGCTGATAGCATTGGTCGTCCAGATGCCATACGCGTCCACGAGGCGCATGATAGATGGGTCGGCCAACTGTGCATCTGTTATGCACATGGTTGTGGATTTCTGCTCGGGCACGGCCAACAACATCTTTCGCTTCGTGGAAGATGGCACTCAAACGACCAATCTGTCGAACATAACCCATCTTGTGCCGGTTCATCAAGCGGCACTGTTGATCCTTCTGCCAGAAACTGGCTTCAAGGCTCTTGAGCTGTTGCTGCAAGCGTCGGACTTCTCGATCTGCAATGATCGGTCCACCAGGAACAGTCAGTTGCTGGACCTGTCGGGTCAGCTCCTCGATCTGGTCCTGCAGGGCGAAGTTCTCCACCACTTTCTCATCCAAGCGGGCAGACAGGCGATCGCTTCGGATGTGCCTCTGTCTCAATATGTGATTTCTTCCAATCCACCATCCGTGTACCCATCCGGTGAGGTAGGTACCCACCACAAAGACCACCAAGGTCAGCACCACAACGGCATCCCAGAAGTAGTCCCAGTAGGAAGTCTTCGGCTCGTGGATGACGTCGACGTAGGGGCATGTGTCAGGTGTGATTGGATCGCTCAGAGGAGCAGCGGCAGCACCAAGTGGTTGCAGAAGTCCAAGCATGAGAATGCAAAGGGCAAGGCGCAGCAATGCTCGAAGAGAAAGGATCGCCCAACCGTCGTCATACTTTGTCTCCTGGTCGTAGGAGATGTCCATGGTCGGGGTGTGCACAATCGGCAGGGTGTCGTTGAAATTCAGGTCAATGGCTTGGCCAAGACGTGGCTCCTTGGGAGCTGCAACAGCCTTGCCAGACATCTCATCCCAGTTGTTCATCTCATAGTTGATCTCCTCGCCAAAGCAGGCAAAGGCTTCCACAGGAACGTCTTCAGTGGTCTCAGGTTCTTCCACCACTGTGGCAAGAGGCTGCGAGAACTCATCTCTGCTGGCATTACGGTCTGAGAGCTTCTTGCGCTTGGCCGCGATGTAGTCAGGATCCCAAGACAGCTTGATCCTTCCGTAGCGAAGGCGGTCTGCCAGCAATTGGCGAGTGCCCTCTTTGGCCAGGGAATCTGCATACTGTCTCTCACTGGAGATCCACTTCAAGCGGCCACCAAGCGATTCCAGCCCTTCTCGCAAGACCTTGATCTCTAAGCCAGTGCGCTTGTCTGTCAAGCCACTGCTGAGGCTCTCTCTGTAGTAGCTGTCGTAGAGGGCTTTGGCGTCTGTGACAAGCGTGGGCTCCAAAGGGCTCGGCTTGTGCAAGATGTTGGCAAGTGGCTCGTTCGGCTCCAAAAGGTGTTGGTAGAAGCGGCAAACAAAGTCCATGTTGTCGCAGGCCTGACTTGCTGATTGGGCTTCGGCTCCAAGACTCGAGCGGGCAACTCGTGGCAACTTCGATGAGCGCCAGTCAATGATATGGTAGGCTCCTTCGGTGCCATCAAAGACGTCTTTGGAGACCAGCATGGTCAGGTAGCCACCTTGTGAGGATCCGTCACGTCGAATGCCAAATGCTGCATCGACCATCGTGACAAGTCGTAGATCTTGCACATCACAGATGCGTTCGTAGCAAAGTGCCACGTCAGCGTTGAGCTTGGCAAACTTGAGCAAGCGATTGGCATCATGGATTGATTTGACCAGTCCTGCAGAGACTTGTCCAGCCAAAAGAGATGTAGAGCACTGCAAGTGCGGTTGTGATTGCACAGCGGGCCATTGTAAGGACCCAAGCAAACCTCGCATCTGGGTGACCTCAGACGGTGTCATGTAGTCCTCAGGACCTCGATCACGTTGAAGTGAGATGGGCTTCACCTTGCGCAGATACTCTGCGTGATCCACTTTCCATCCACCAGTCGGGGTCTTTTGAAGGCTTGCGCCACAGTACTCCAGCTTGTCCTGGTCCTTCCATTCGCGGAAGTTGAAGATCTGTCGAAGCTGCTTGACAACGTGTTGGTATACCAAAGATTCTTCAAGTCCACCTCCAAGCATATCATCCACGTGGATGCAAACCATGCCAACGATCCGTTCCGATCCCAAACACTTGCTAGGGTCAGAGGCTTGAATGTCGGGGAAGTCAGCCTCGCAGATGAGGAAGCAGCAAGGATCCAGCATATGAGGGCGCAGCCCAATTGATGTCAATCTCCTTGAAGCTTCGAGAAACCATCTTCTCGGTGCGTCGATCTGTCCATAGCAAGGTTTGCGCAGCAGCATTCGGGTCGTCTCATCAGCACCCAAGATGTTGAGAACTTCTCGGGGTAGCTTGACCCAGAGTTGTCGTTCTTGAGGAAGTCCTTGTAGGAATGCTGTTGCAACGTCGGCTGTCCATCCACACCACTGCAAGATTGAAGACAAGGACAGAAACATAGAGCGGCTCAGGCGGCTTGTGGTGGGAGCTGAAGTTTCCACCTTTCCTTCAAGCGCGTCCTGATCGTTGTAGCCGCGGACCACCAATCGAGCTTTCGCTCGCGGACTTCCGTCCGGGTTCTTGCTCCACTTGAGCAGCATGCGTGAGGTCAAGGTGCGTTGCGGGTCAGCATCCCGAACGCTGGAAAACTCCCAGACTCCATTCTCGAAGAAACTGCGAAGCTCCTTGATCTTGGCCTGCATGAACTGCTCGCGCTCGTGCATGGTGAGTCCACGCTCGTTGAGCTCAGAGGAGGCTTTCTTCTTGATGGCCGCATGTTTCTCTTGTCGTGCAACCCTCTTTGCAGGAGTGGTGGCATACATGGCAAGCTCCTTTCTCACAGCCCCAGTTAGTTGGCACACAGTGAGTCCAGTCCAGGCGGCCTTGTTGGGCGCAACCACAGTATCAAAGCGGTCAGTGGAGACCTGAATG